AAATTCATAAGGAATTTGTACTTATCAGTACAAGTGAGAATTTCGGGACTTTCATGTGTCTGTTTTGCAAACAGATTTCATCGATATTATTTTAAACAATATGTTTTATTTTATAAAGTTTTTTTTTGTAATTTTTTAAGTCCTAAAATAATTTATTTTAATTTTCTATCAAAAATTAATTTATATAATACAATAATATTATTTTAATAAAAATATCCTAAAGCACTAGCTTAACTTTTCTTATTAAAAGCCACTTTTTTCTTCTTAATTTCGCACAACAGAGAGTCTGGCATGATAGATTGAAAGAGAAATGTGATGAGATATAAAAAAAAAAATTAGATTTGAAAGTCGCGGAGTGATTTTTGTCAGTTATGTTAGTTGAGAGATTTGCTCGTCTTATCGTAGGAAACATTTAGCCTATTTCTGATTTCAATGATTTTGTGTTTTTGATATTTTTTTGATCAAATGTGTTTTCGTTATTGAAAAACGTGAATAACTTTGTATTGACAAAACTTTCACCACGTAACTTTTTGTATATTATAGATATAATGATTATGAGCATTTTGAACATTTATTTGAGATTTTTCATTGGGTGATTTTGAAAATACAATAATATTTGTCTACGTAAAATTTTATTTTAACTTTTAAAAATAGTTGTGTAGTACAATAAAAGTTTTAAAACATCATTTTACATAATCCCTAATAATTTGGTAATTTTTTGAAAATGCATATTTTTGTTTTATATGATTCTTTGTTGTCCATCGTAAAAGTGGACCGGTGGGCAATTACGTCATAACGAGCGAATCTGCCTTGAAAATTTGAGATTTTGACGTGGTTGAGGATGGTTGGATTAATATTTAACTGTGATTCCTGATATCTGGGGATTAAAAATAGATACCGTGGGTGCTTGGAATTAGAGAGAGAGAAAGAGAGATTGGAATATATGGCATTCAAGAAAAGCTTGTTAACAAATAAAAGCTTTTAGTATATGAAATAGCCTTTTTTTTTCACTTTGCAAATTTTTTCTGAAGTCAATATAATTCAAATTGTAATATATTTTTGTTATTGTATTTTAATTAAAGTATTTTACTAACATGATTTTTTTCGTAATTTTTGGGCTCCGGAGAAAATTCTTAAGGAATTTGTACTTATCGGTACAAGTGAGGATTTCGGGACCTTCATGTGTCCGTTTTGCAAACCGATTTCATCGATATTTTTTTAAACAATATGTTTTATTTTATAAATATTTTTTTGTAATTTTTTAAGTCCTAAAATAATTTATTTTAATTTCTATCAAAAGAAATTAATTAAATTAATTATATAATACAAAAATATTATTTTAATAAAAATATCCTAAAGCACTTATCTTTTCTTATTGAAAGCCATTTTTTTCTTCTTAATTTCGCATAACAGAGAGACTCGCATGAGAGATTGAGAGAAATGGGATGAGAGATAAAAAAAACTTTAGATTTGAAAGTTGTAGAGTGATTTTGTCAGTCATGTTAGTTGAGAGATTTGCTCGTCTTATCGTAGGAAACCTTTAGCCTATTTCTGATTTCAATGATTTCGTGTTTTTGATATTTTTTTTTTTAATCAAATTTGTGTTTTTGTTACCGAAAACGTGAAAAACTTTGTATTGACAAAACTTTCACCGCATAACTTTTTGTATATTATAGAGATCATAATTATGAGCATTTTGAACATTTATTTAAGATTTTTTATGTGGTGATTTTGAAAATACAGTAATTTTTGTATTCCTAAAAATTTATTTTAACTTCTAAAAATAGTTGTGTAGTATAATAAAAGTCTTAAAACATCATTTTACATAATCCCTAATAATTTGTTAATTTTCTGGAAATATATATTTTTGCTTAATAAGATTATTTGTTGTACATTGTTATGACTTTTTAGTATCTTCTTAATTAAGCTCAATTATGCATTATTTACTGCAATGCATTAAAAATAAATGTGGATATATGCTTGAGTTAGTTGCAAGTAATAGCTTGTCGCTATTATTGTTATATTATTGTGATAATAATGTGCATATGTGAAACAAATAAGTAAATATTCGTTGACCCGTTGGTTGGAGACTAATTGACCTGTACATGATAGTGGGTCGACAGATTTTCCTTTAAATATTATGGTTTGGTGTTATATTATACTAATTAACGTAATACACTGATTGAGAGTTATAAGGCAATCATTATTATGCCGATGGGCAAAAAGTGACGACTCTATTTATTGAGCCAACAGTTTACTAACATTGATACTAATACTGAAAAATACCGTGATAGTCAGGACTTCTTACTTGTTTAATGTGACTATTGAAATGCATGTTTTGAGATATTATTCTTATTATTGCATAGATTTATTTGCATTGGACAAATTTATTGTTATTCCATTATTCTATTATTTATGTCACTGTATTGTTATTATTATCGATCTGGATACTGATACTATTGGTTTACTTTACTGATATTATACATGTGATATACTGAGAACATGATATCAAATACATGGATAGAATGTTTAGACTCTTATATGATTTTATTATATCGACATGATTTTAACAGTCTTTATTAATATTTTGATTTATATGATTTATTTATTAATTAGCATTACGAATATGATGATTGCTTTATAGATTTAACAGTCATATAGATTTATTGATTTACTTGCTTTTGTATTATAGTGTTTTACTGTTTATAAATGATTCTATTTAACTATTTATGCACTGATTTAATGATCATATGAGTGTCATTACTATGATTTGACTATTGACATGCATATTGCTTATTTGTCATACTTTGAATTCAATTTAGATTTTGGTGACGTGCTGGGCTTTTTAGCTCATTATATGTGGTTAAATGATTTCAGGTCAGGGTAGGGGAGCAGGAGTGTGATGCTGGTCAGGTTCATCAGTTTATATTTCTTTTTTGCTTTAGTTATTCTTTTGTACTTATGACATAGAAGTTATGATTTGATTGTATAAATCATAAGTAGTATATATGATTTTTTGAAATAATATAGATGTGTACATTGATGTTTTAAATTATAGAATATATTGTACTGCTTATTAATGATACATGATATTAGATAGTTATGTTTGTTATTTATTAAAAGATTAAAAAAAATAATTCGTATATCCCCAAAAAGATTAAAATAGGACTCTTCATCATTTATTATTAGGAAGCACGAGCTATAGGAAATGCTCCATCAAGTAGTGTTATGGGTGCACCTAGGGGTGTCAATTTGGGTCAACGGGTCGGGTTCGGATTGCTATAGGAACTTATACGAATCTTTGGAATTCGTGCTAAACGTGATCCCTTCAAGTTCAAGCTGTTTGGCTGTGTTGAACCAAGGCAAAAGGCTCTCCGCTAACGATGATTTATGGGAGAGGAAGCAATTATTCTTGGCTGGGTCTTCGTTTCAGGGGTCCAGCAGGTTTAAGTTTTTCTATTGGAACCAATTAAAGAACTATGGAATACTTGGAAAGACATATAATTATACATTAATCTGGTCATCATCGCATTTATTTGAAAAAAAAAAAGAAAATTTTGAATAATAAAAGTCATGCAAGAAAAAAAAAAACATTTAGATTATACTAATAAAAATTGATCTTTGAAAAATTAGTTTTTATTTTGAGATAATTATTATACATAATTTATATTGCACTCATCTCAAAATAGTAATACATAAATAATTTGTGTTATACTATCTCAACAGTAAAAAACAAGCTGACAAAAAATGGCTTCAGAATATTTTTTTTATATAAAAATGATACACAAAGATTGAATTTTATGTGGAAAGAAATGACAAACCACATGGCACTGTGAAAATAGCTTCTCGTAGGACCATTTGGGATAAATTTTTTACATTATGTTATTGTTTATTTATTTTTGTATGAATTGAAATGTAATTAATATCTTTAAATCTAATATTTTTTATTTTTATTGAATATCAACTAAGTTGATTTATGCATTGATCGTGTTGTTCGCCAACGGAGTTGTGATGGTGGGCAACTAGGTGATGAAGGGTGGCGATGGTCGCCAATGGAGGTGGCCGCGGACCAAATATGATATTTTTTTTTTAATATTTAAAACTCAAGAACTCATAAATTTAAAACCCGTTGAGCCCAATCCGACTAACTTCACTTAATCAACTCACTTGGTTGCCTCTCAACCTCGTCTCTTTAAAGTACTATTTGATTTGCTGTAAAATGATTACTGATTAAAATAAAATATAATGTAAAATAAATGCAATATATTTGAATTGTTTATAAGAATTTGAACGTCTGCTTAATTCGGTCAGCTTTTGATCACTAGTTGTTTTTAAAGAAAATTTTGAACTAAAAAGCTATTGTAGAAAAATATATATATATATCAAATGAAACCTTAATAAAGGGGATGGTACTCAAATGCAAAAAAGGATGCTTAAATTTTTTTTTTATAAAATTTTTGCTATCACTGAGTAACATATTAAGACATATTTAAGATTCTATTAGAATGATGTGCCCTCAAATCATACTCTTTCGAGATCCATTCACATTTTATAAATGAATGTTTATGTAGTATATTTGTACCTTATGCAGAAAGTGATATAACTATCATATCAAGTTAGTCATGCCAGTTTTTTTCTATCTACGATAAATTATTATGTGCAGTCACTGGATTGTTCATAGGAGAATCAGGATGCGCCACATCACCCTCGGTATACAACACCGGTACACAACAAATGATGACGTGGGGCGTCCTGATTCACCTCTGAACCTCTGGGACGACATCCCGTCACCGCAGGTAATAATTTCTCCTATCTAATAGATGCTAACTATAACATAACTTGACATAGTATGATAATAGAACATTTTAAAATGATTGTTTCCATTCAAAGCTCTTATGACAAATTGCAATTAGTAAGCTAAACCCTTTTCCAATCAGATACAAGACATAAAACCTCAATTGTCTTAATATCAGAATTCACAAGGAATTCTCATACTAAAACTAGGAATGCTGGCTTCTGTTTCTCATTCTGTTGACTCCTAAGGCCATGGATCTCAACCTTGCTCTTGTAGTATAAAGAGAGTTCCTCTGCTGCCCACTTGAAAATGTTTCTAAAAATTCTTCCCTTTGCAACCTAAGAGCCAATGCAACATCCTCAGATTGATTTGGATTCAACCTTCCTATAATATTCCTATCACCACCAACTGTTCGAAGAAGTTCCATTGCGCTTCTGAAACTACTTGTTGAGCTGTGTGAAGTTCTGCTTCTAGTGTGCCTTCGAATTCTTTCAAGTTCCAAGCCCTGGGTAGAAACCTCCTCTCTTAAAGAAGATTCGATGGCCGCCTTCTTCCTCGGCTCCACTTCGTTAGGAAATAAGAGTTGAATGGTGTTCCAGAGAACTGTGTTCACTGTGCATGTTCTAGTATTGCTGCATAAAAAATTTCCAAAAGATGAGTAGCATTAGTGTCATTTTTGTTGGAAATTTGAATAAAAGGTCTCGTTATTTGCACCAAGTAGTACATTATTTTTTAGTTTTATAGGATAGGTATTAAGTTTTTTAACTTTTGATACAATAGTTAAAAATCTTAGGGGCTGTTTGGTAGCACCAGATTTTGATTTAAATAGGATTTCATAAAACCAGATTTCGAAAATTCTGAGGGGCCTAAATCTTGAAAACTGTTTGATAATATTCATGATAAATCCTATTAAATCCCACGTGTGACTGCTTGGCTATAAAGCGGATTTAAGGAGCGGACGCTTCCTCTCAAGCCAATGGATTTCGTATATCCGGCAAAAAATAGGATTTAAGAAATCTGGGATTTAGCACGAAAAGGCAAAATTGTCCATCTACGGCATCTTTCATTTGCCGTGAGATTTGGTTTAGTATTTTAGGCCATTTGGTTATATTTGACTCAAACCCGGCCTAAATCCTGCTACCAAACAACCCCTAAAAGCTTCTTAGAATTTTGAAAGCTCTTAATCAAAAGAAGATGAAAACTCGCACCAGCGGGAATTTAATACGAATATGCTTTTTCTTTCGTCGGCTAAGCTTAACACTTGATTTACCTTATAAGTTGCCTACACTTTGGGCATTTCTTTCCGCATTTATCAGCAGCACATTTCAAGCATTTCTTGCAAAAACTGCACAAATTAACATAAGTAATTGCTTGAGAAAAAAGACTTTAATTGAAATAAAAAAACATGAATTTCATTAATTTGATCACACCTGTGACCACAAGAAGTGGTGCTCGGTTCATAACAAATCTCCAAACAAATCTGTAGCATTACAGAGTGCCATTAAATAGATAAAATCCGAAATTAAAACCTTTAAAAGGGATGCTCTAGAGCAATTACTCACAGCGCAGGAGAGTTCCTCCCTTAGCCTATCCATGCATGGAAGCCCTTCTTTATAGTTGATTTTAGCCAAGGTCTCTTCTCCTCCTCCTATATCTTCTTTCTTTTCTTCATTAGGTGCGAAGCCCACTGGCCCTTTTCCTTTCATCTCAATTTCTATGGATATACAGGAAAATTTCAAAATAGAGCCATGAATCAAATAAAATAGAATTTCATGATTATCCCCCACAAATTTCTGCATTTTCTAGTACATCACTCAATACTATAAATTAATAGTTCACTGAATTTTATTAACTTTTACTAATTTACCATTATAGTTAATTTGATGTTAATCTAAAAGAATATTCTATTTCATACATACGAAAATCATAAGGAGTTCTCATTTCACTTTAGATAAAAAAATTATAAAAAATCTTAATTGATGGGAACTCAATTACTAACAGATCATAACTAGTAAAAGATTAAACCTGTCACAAGATGGATTTATTATTATGTGCGGAGTTTGGATATGTCAGGAGATCAATAAAAATGCGCAACGTTATCTCAAAAATGTACCGCGCTCGGTATCGAGCGTAACCGAACGGTTCACCCGTCCGGTGTCCACACAGAATAATTTCTCCACAAGATGACATTAGCAAGAGCAAGGAGAATCATACGATATGCCAGTAAATACATACTTTTGTGGTGATATACAGTAAATTTCCCCAAAAGAAGAAACGAGCAAGAATAAAGAAACCTTGATGAGAATATCCGTCCACCTCATCATCCAGGCAAAGAACAACGACTGGAATCGGATCTGCAGGCTGTCGTCTAGATCTCAGTTTCCTTCATGTAGAGCAAACAGTTTAATGAAGTTGACTCTGCTATAACGAATAAGGGAGATAAGACAAGCAATGGAATCAATGATGACCTTTTGGAACTGGAGGAAGTGGATGAATTTAGTTGATTTACAGAACGCCTTCGGCGTGAAGATTCTCTCACCGGAGTGTCCTCCACGACTTGGGTGGCAAACAGGAGAGCTTCTTCATCCCAGCCTGCCATGGCCGCTGCTGACCGAAACCTCGGGCTCAGAATAGTCTCCTTCGTTTCTGCTTCTACGGCTCGAGGAGATCTCTTAAAGCGTTTCTGAGGAATCGCTGGGCTTGCGATCTCTCCGGCTTCTTCCATTCTTGAGGGGAATGGTTTTGTTGAAGAGAGAAAAATCGTTTTTGTGACGGGTTGAGTTGTTTAAGGGTGAACGAAACAAGACAGTGGGCAACGGTCGAATTTTATTTTTGAAATCGTGCCTTGGAATCTTGGAAAGGGTATAATGGTAATTGACTGTTCTGCTCTGGCAAATTATATGTCCCTATATTTAAAAACAATGATCAATATTTTATGAATAAATTGATAATTAATGCTTTGTTTGTAACAATTTTTTTTACTATTTTTAAAGTATTTTTTTAGTAAAAAAATTGTAGTGCAAAAAAATTTTATAATTTATTTTTTTAACTAAAAAATTAATTTAAAAAACAGTTAAAAAATAGTACCAAACAAAGCCTATACCTCTCATTAAAAATACCACTTATATATATTATTTTTGAAATCAAACCATTAAATTTATTATAGATGCTAAGAAATTCATTTAATTTTAGTACACTTAAGCCATGAAATTACGAAATTATTTAAGTATTGTTTTGTATACTTAATGTATGATTAATGTTTCATTTGTGACATTTTTTTTATTGCTTCTTAAAGTATCTTTAAAAAAAATTAATTTAAATAATATTATTTTGTACTATAAAATTGTTTTAAGAAGCAGTAAGAAAGTCGTACTAAATGAAACCTAAGTTAAATAATCAAATTTTGTCAATGAAATGCAGAAGAGCAAAAAAATAAGCCAAATTAAAATATATCACTTTTCGCATAAGAATAAAGTTTAACATGCCACAATAATAGGTCTTAATATTATAAATGTATTGAATGTTAGCAAAGTAAAAGATTATATTTGATATCAAGTTGGCATATCATTAGAAAATTCATCCGATAAAATATAAATTTTGGTGCAATATTTGAATTAAAATTTATAGGAATTAAATTAAATACTATCCAATTTTGAATTTTAGAAAACTTATAACTGAGCAACATTTTTTAATAAAATAAGTCTAATAACATCAAAAATATTTTGATCCGAGTCTAAATGAGTCAAAAGCTAACACTAAAAAAATAGTTGAAATTTTTATGATATTGTTTAAAGGACCAAATGATTTATAAATCTTATGTACTTACAATCAAGATAAACGCCTTAATAAGAGGAATTCAATGAGCCTAAGATCGATCAATTTGATGTGATTAAACTATTTAAATGCTGAAAGAATAATCTTTAATCAAGATAATTAATATGGACCTCTTATTGAGTATTTTAGAATTTTGATTAAATTTATCAAAATGCTACCTACAAAAATTATAAATAGATATATATTATTGACATGAATGGGGCTAAGACATTAACTAGAAATTGAATAAAGCTTCAAGATCTAACATGATATGCTAGATGTTTGACACAAGTGATCATCGTCATCAATTATCGTTACACAATTGTTATTATTTGACTATTATAACACACATGTCATTGCTTAACTATCATTATCATTGCTTGATCAGTGTCACTTGTTTGGCATCACTTGATCATTGTGACCCAACAACCGTCTCTCAATCATTGTTGCCTAACTACAACGCCTCTTGAACTCTATCTTCCAATTGCCATCACCCCAACAATGATCTCTCACTCTCAATCAATGTTATTGATTACACTATTATATGACTATTATCTCTCATCCACTTCATCACTTGCCATCTCCAATAACATCAATGCATGACATGACTTACATGACTGATACACCTCATCGACACTAAGGCTTATGCATGTTGACTTTATCGCCCACCATCATAAAAAATGTTGACACATATTATTGACTTGAGGATAACATATGCCATAAACACAAAGGTTGAAAATTCACATACTTTGTTATTTGCTTCGCTAACAATGTTGACACACGTCATTGCTTATAAGGCTGGTGCATGTCATGACACTAAAGCTGATGTTAGTTGTCCTCATTACTCATTATCGCCAATGATGTGGACACTGAGCATGGCCTATGAGACTGATGTACACTACATATAAAGGCTGATGCCTATCGACTTTGTCGCTAGTTGAATATTGTCAACCATGTATAAGACCATATGGGGGGAGAGAGAGAGAGAGAGAGAGAGAGAGAGAGAGAGAGAGAGAGAGAGCGAGAGCATGATGTTTATTGACCTAGGTTATGGTTAAATGTGCAAAAAATATTCGATCGATATTGGAACACTTTCAATTAACATTTGAAATAGTAAAGTGATGTTTAATAACATATTTGGTTTAAGATTTAGTGTGAATATCATGTTCAAATATAACTAATAAAACATATATCATCACTAACTATTAGAGCATAATAATAATAAATAAATACATTATGTACCTTAGTTTATATTACCAAACATGCCATGTACTGAGGCTATCTTAAAGCCTATATATACTAGACTCTGTACCGAAGGCAGAACAAGAAAATACATTACTTTACTTTCTTCTCCACTTTCGGCTCTTTGCTTTGTCCTCTGTCTTCTTGAGATCTTCTTGTTCCTGGGCAAGAACTGGATCAATATCCAATAGTTCTTCATGGTATCAGAGCAGGAATAAAGAAGAAGCAAATCAATGGCCGACTCCAGCAGCTCAAGTCTCGGTGATCAAACTGATCGCACGGGATCAAATGTCATGGAGATACCTTCTTCACTCAAATTTGTTGTATCCAACCTCAAAAATATCGTCAACACCCCTCTCTCCGCCGAAAACTACTCGCTCTGGCGATCGCAGATAACCAAGATTCTTCGGGCAAATGCGTTTGAACAATTTCTTGATCCCAAGATTCAACAACCATCCCGTTTCTTGGATACATCGGAAGGTTCGTCCATCCCGAATCCAGCTTACCGACAATGGGTTCGCACGGACCAGAATCTAATGGCGGCAATTTGCTCTACCATATCGGCATCGGTATTACCCTATATTGTAAATCTTGATTCTACCGCTGATCTATGGGATACCTTAGAACGCAGGTTTCAATCATCAAATCGCTCCAAGGTGATACAGCTCAAGAACGAGCTACATAATATCACTATGAAGAATCAATCAATGACTCAATATCTCACCGATATTAAGTCATTAGTAGATCAAATCGCGGCGGCCGGAGCAACTGTGGACGATGAGGACATCATCCTGTATATTCTTAACGGGCTTCCACAACCCTATCAATCCTTCAAAACGGCAATCAGAACAATGCTCGTTCCTATAAGTCTTGACAACTTATATTCACTTCTTCTCAGTGAAGAAGTGAACATAGCCTCTGACACAGCTCGGGCCATAGCCAAGCAAGATCCCGATACAGCTCTCTATGCTTCCCGGGGTCGTGGACGACGAAATCACAACAATCTGCCTCAAAATTCAAACAATCGAAGCAAGACTTCCACTTCGTCAATCATATGTCAGATCTGTAATAAAAAAGGGCATACGACTGCAAACTGTTGGCATCGCATGAACAGCCAGTACGTACCGAAGTCTGGCAACTCTTCTCCAAAAGCCATGGTCGCACAGTCAGAACAAGCAACTACCGACTGGTATCTTGACTCTGGCGCATCATCGCATCTTACAAATTCACTCAACAATCTTCAAATCTCAGCCCCGTACACAAGAAACGATGGTATCACGGTAGGGGATGGGCGGTCGGTTCCGATTGCCCACTCAGGTGCTGGAATACTTCCAACACCTTCTCGTAAGCTATATCTTTCTCAACTTCTGCATATTCCCAAATTACACTACAATCTCTTGTCCATTTCTCAACTTACTAGGGATAATAATATTTCTATTGTATTTGATCCTTTGGGTTTTACCTTGAAGGATTTGAAGACCAACCAAGTGCTACTTAAAGGCCCTTGTCACAAGGGTCTGTATCCGATTAATTCTCTATCTTCAGGTGCTACGTCGACGGCGTTATCTGCTACAGCAAATGGCTCCAATATTTGGCATCAAAGATTGGGGCATCCACATAAAAGAGCACTTGAAACCATTGCTAAATCCAACCCGTCTCTCAATATATCTGTATCTGATTCTATTTGCAATTCTTGTAGGGCCAATAAAGGCCATAAACTTTTGTTTGAAAAATCTGAAAATCGTAGTAATAAAATTCTTGAGTTGATCCACTCTGATGTTTGGGGACCCTCACCGGTTACCTCAAATCAAAGTTTCCAATATTACGTGCTGTTTGTAGATGATTTTTCACGCTTTACATGGTTATTTCCTATGATTCATAAATCTGAAGTAACTAATATTTTTATTAATTTCAAGGCGAAAATTGAAAATCTCACGTCTCACAAGATCAAATGCCTAAGGACTGATGGAGGCACCGAATATGTCAATCATCACCTCAAGCAATTTCTCATACAACACGGCATTCGACATCAAATCTCGTGTCCGTACACGCCTGAACAGAATGGCATGGCGGAACGCAAACATCGCCATGTCATAGAGACCACCCGCAAATTACTTTTCAATTCGTCTGTCCCATACAAATACTGGCCGGATGCGGTCTTGACGGCAACGTATCTTATAAACAGAATGCCGTCTCCTACCATCAAGAACATGTCACCTTATGAGCGGTTATATCATCGCAAACCTACCTATGGGCATCTACGCACCTTTGGTTGCGAGTGTTTTCCGTTGACACCAAATCATTTACGTCACAAACTTCAACCGAAGGCAGCTTCTTCTGTGTTTCTTGGATATTCGGACGCATACAAAGGCTATAAATGCCTCGATCTTGCTACTAACAAGATTCATATATCTCGTCACACAACATTCAACGAACAATCATTTCCGTTTTCTAAATTTAATTCTATGTCTACTAATACTACTACAGAATGCTCTCCATACTTACTAACTCCAATTTCTAAATTCTCTAAACCACTGCAGGCTCCTTCTACATATGCCCAACCCACTGCCTCTCCGATTATTTCTCCCACAATTCCCAATCCTGCGGATACCTGTGACGCACATCAACCTCCATTACCTTCAGATGCCAACCATATCACTCAGTCAACAT